CTCCTCCTCGGTGCGATTGCTCGCTCTGGGTGGGCAAGCACAGCTTGGCACACAGGGGCACACACTGGGATTGCAAAGGCCTGGATTGTCCCACAGTCCCAGAGGGCTCTGGATTGTCCCTACCAGATCCATCTGCACTTGGGTCCACTCTTGCTTGTGGTATGAAGAAGAATCTTTTGAAGGTAAACTGAATTTGCGGTACTGGCGGTTCATCTTCTGTAACGGAGATGATTTCAAGACTTCCAGTAGTGGGGTTTGTCTCTTGAACCTGGCTCAACAGGAGAGGAAAAAAAAAAAGAAGAAAAAAAAATCATTATAATGTTGTCATAGAGTCACAGAATGGTTTGGGTTGTAAGGAGCTTAAAGTTCATCCATCCTCTGCCATGGGCAGGGACACCTTCCATTATCTCAGGCTGCTCCAAGCCCTGTCCAACCTGACCTTGGACACTTCCAGGGATGGGGCACCCAGAAATTCTCTGGGCTCTCTGTTGCCAGGGCCTCACCACAGTCATAGTCATGAATTTCTTCCTAAATCTCATCTAAACCTTCTTGCAGCCCTCTTTGGGCACTGGAAGGGCACAACAAGGTCTGTCTGGAGCCTTCTCTTCTCCAGGATGAACAACACCAACTCTCTCAGCCTTTCCACATAGCAAAGGTGCTCCAGCCCTCTGAGCATCTCTCTGGCCTCCTCTGGATTCACTCCAGCAAGGTCCATGTCCTTCCTGTGTTGGGGACCTCAGAGCTGGGCACAATACATCATTATGTACTTAATTTTCATGAGAGAAACACTTACAATTAATTTACCAGCAAACGACTCAGGTTAATTTTTGTTCAGATTTGTCTAAGCACCGGAGCTACTTTTAATAACTCACACTGGGGTTGTGAATCCATCCCCTGCTCTATAATTGCAACAGGAAACAAGAGAAAGCCTAAAATGCATAGGACACCAGCACAGCACCTGACAGGATGTTCATTCATGGAAATTTTACTCCAGTAAAGTTTTGATGGCTTACTATACAGCAGAAAAAATAAAGTTTGCTACACTAGAATTTGGGGCAAATAGATTTGAAATGCTAATTTCTGACTCTGGTTCTGCACACTGGCAAAAAGAATCAGATTTTTGATCTCAGAGTGATGTGAAATAGGTCCAGGTTTGTTAAAGACAGTGGAGCTGGTAAGCTGTAAAAGCAGCATGCTTGCAGAGTCAGTCCCATAAAATGCTGACAGTAACACATTTTTGGCAAAGAATACATGTTCTACCTGTGACATATCTATAATGGAAAATATCCTGGAGTATTTTTTCACCTTTCAGCAATAAAGGTTTATTTCATTATTTCTTTCATTTAATTTCCTTTATATCTTTCATTTGGTAAAATTTCACCTACATTTAATTGAGCATAAATTAAACTTTGTAGAGAATCTGCCAGCATGATTGTTAAATATTAAAAGCAAAAAAGCCTTCTAGCTGGTGCATAATATGCCCATCAGGAAACAAAACAGCACTGTGAACCAAATTACATGCAAGCCAAACACTGACATTTCGCTTATCCAGAGGCTATCACATGCTCCCAAATCTTCACTCACCTCTTCCTGAGAAGTCATAGTTAAAAGCAAAACTGTTTTCCTTCTTCATTATCAAACTCAGTGTTTGCTGAGCCTCTGTGCTCGGGGAGGGTTTCCAGCCGGCCGCTGCGCGCGGCATCAGGGCCGCAGCCGTGTAACCCAACCTGGAGAGGGGTATCGGGTGGCCCTGGATGGCATGGCTACGGAAAGGGGCAGATAAAAATTCAGCACGCTGTTTAATTAGCTGAAAAACACCAGGCAACACTGTGGGATCTGCAAACCTTCCCATAAACCCTTAGCAAAGGAGCCCCATGAGCGCTCGCTCATCCTCTGCCAAAAGCGAGGCCGCTGAACACCAACAGCTGGGGGTGGCAGGGAGCAGCAGCCACAGGACTTCATCTCTTCATCTCTTCATCTCTTCATTGTCAGAACTCAGGACATCCCCTCTGGCTGTCCTGGACTGCCAAGACCCCTGCCAGGGGCTCAGAGACCCCGGCACAGAGCCCAAGACCCCTGCGGGTTTGATTATGACCCATGGAGCAAATTACCAACCTTAGATGAAGATCTGCAAGCCATGACAGTTTAAGTAGAATGATAGTGAATTTATCACAGGGTGAAAAAGTAGATTTTTGGGGTTTTTAGAATGAGAGTTCAGGAGGCAAGATGGAGGGATCTGGGTGTGTCCAGCCTTTCTCCTTCTTCTTCTTGGCCTCCATCTTCTGCTGTGATGTTGGCACTTTTGGATTAGTTTAGAGTAGAAGCTCACTGTCTAACATAGGTGATAGGTATTGGAAAGTAATTGTAAATATTATAAATGTAGTTTTTAGTATAAAAAGATAACACCACCTTGGGGGCAGGCAGAGTGCCTGTGACTGTCCTGCTGAGTGGACCTCGGCAGGGCAGGAGAAAGAATTTTATAGATAAGATATAATAGACAACCTTGAGACCAAGAAATGAAGAGTTCTTCGAGCACCAGGCTGGGAAAAGAGACTTTCTAACAAATCTCGAGGTCACTCTGACCAGCTAAAGCCCTGAGACTTCATCTCTTCATCTCTGATCTCACAGACTCACCTTGCTCCTCCTTCACTGGGTTTAGCATTTGCCATGTGCCTGCAGAAGGTTTGTGAAAAAGCAGCATCTCATGTTGCTGAAGGATCAACTCAGTTGTACTCTGGAATTTAGAAAATGGAAATGTACGTTTGTGGTGCTGTTCACAGGGGTCCCAGGAAGAGGGAAGAGATGAGAATGTTGACTCCATGTTTTAGAAGGCTTGATTTATTATTTTATTATATATATTATATTAAAACTATACTAAAAGAATAGAAGAAAGGATTTCATCAGAAGGCTAGCTAAGATTAGAAAAGGAATGATAATAAAATCTTGTGACTGACCAGAGAGTCTGAGAGAGCTGAACTGTGATTGGCCATTAATTAAAAACAACCACATGAGACCAATTAAAGATGCATGTGTTGCATTCCACAGCAGCAGCTAATTTTTGTTTACATTTTGTTCCTGAGGCCTCTCAGCTTCTCAGGAGAAAAAATCGAAGGAAAGGATATTTCATAAAATATCATGGCTACATACACTCAGCTGAAAGGAATGCTTGAGAGTAGTAATAGTTTGGCTGGGTTGTTTTCACTTAGAAGAGAGATTCTTGATAGAGGGAAGGATGGAGGGAAGAAGGAGAAGGAAGGATGATGCAAAAAGCCACAGCAGTGTAAGTGAAACAATGAGAGGCCAGGGAGGATATGAAAATTTTCCATGATAAAATCCATGTCCCTAGAATATGGCTGAGATGAGAGAAGCTCTTCAGTCCTATTTCTGTGCACAATGGAGACTGGCACTTCCAAAGGAGAGGACCCCACCTCATGTGTGGTATTTTCGGGGTCCCCTGTGGCAGGAAGGAAATGATGAATCTGACTTCATGTTCTTAGAAGGATATTATATTATATTATATTATATTATATTATATTATATTATATTATATTATATTATATTATATTATATTATATTATATTATATTATATTATATTATATTATATTATGCTATACTAAAACTATACTAAATAATAGAGACAGGATACTTACAGAAGGCTTAACAAGGTACTAATGAAAACTCGTTACTCTCCAGAACCCTGACACAGCTGGACAGTGATTGGTCATTAAGTAAAAACAATTCACATGTTGGATAAACAATCTGCAACCACATTTTAAAGCAACAAAACACAGGAGATGCAATGAGGTAATTATTGTTTTAATTTTTCTCTGAAGCTTCTCAGCTTCCCAGGAGAAGAAATCCTGGGAAGGGTTTTTTCCAGAAAATATGACAGTGACAGGGATTTTTCCAGAAAATATGATAGTGATACTCATGATCCTGTTAACTTAAGCCATGACATCAAGAATCGTTCATCATCTCTTGTGTCACTCTTTCAGCAGCCTTCCCTGGAAATGGGGACACTCTCCCCACCCGCTTTCAGACAGTTCTGATGATTCTCCAAATGGCTGGAGAACCAGCTCGAGCTGGCCAGGTGTCCCAAGGGGAACTTCAGCCAAAGTGGGGAAAACATGAGGGCTCATTTCAGGTGACCAGCAGCTCAGGTGATCTTTTCAGTCCATGGGGTGAGGTGTCCTGTCCTCCAGAGGGAACACTGATACCTGCAATGAGGACAGAAAAACTGTCACCCACCAATTCACTCACTCTGTCCATGCTGGAAGGGCTGGGGACCAGCGAGGGCAGGTCTGCAAAGGCTCCCACAGTGGGACTGGCACCACTGGAAAGGACAAATTCTTCTCCCTGCTTCCACCCTGAGCTGCTCCAAGCTCAGCCTCAGGGTGTGATGTCTGGATAGGACATTGGGTTTAATCTTCCACGGTTTGGTTGCTCATTGCCTTTGGCTGAGAAGACCAAAGCAGAAGCCTCATATGGTATAGGCAGGAGGACTTGAAAGCTGAGCCCAAAAGGAGAGTTTTGGCCTCTAGACTATCTTCCTACTCACTGCAGGACAGCCCCAGTTGTTCCCCCCTAGTGCAGTTGCAGCTCAGGTGGATTTTGTGGCTTTCAGGAGACAGTTTATAAGTGAAAAGCTTATAGATTCCACCTCAGCTCCTTCAGCAAGCCCACTCTGATTGTTACCTTTGGGCTCCTCATCTTGTTCTGCCAGGGCAGATAGGAAAATAGGATAGGAAAAGCTTTTGCTTTTTCAGCCACCCTACGACAAAAATTCAGAGGCGCAGATTCTATGAAAACAGGATGTCAGCTTGTGTCAGAAAAGATCACAAGGGGTGTAAGGTTGGTTTGTTTTTTTTTTTTTCATTGATCTGCCTCCTTCTCTCTCTCTCTCTCTGTTTCATTTTCTGACTCCCTCCCTCTCTCCTTCACACCCTCCTCCCACCTGCCAGCGTGCCAGAGCACACGGAGAGGGGAGGACAGGGAGGAGATGGCGGTGGCTGAGGCACAGCTGTACTCAAAGGTGTCCAACAAGCCCCGGGGCAGGGGCACCTCTGCCCTCCTGGAGCCTCTCCTGGCCAAAGGATTCCCGGCTCATCTCGCGTGAGTACTGTGCTCAGCTGCTCTGGCTCTGGCAGGTTTATCCAAGATATGAGGGGTTTGCCATAAAATCCCCATTTAGGCAGCCTGGTTTTCTTGATCAGGAGATTGGGCTGCTCCTGGGGGTGATGTTCCCATGCAGGGATCAGACCTGTCTTGCTCTGAATTTCATAAGGAAATTCTCATATAGAGTATGATACATGATATATATTCTCATTTATATATTCTCAGATATAGTGTGTATTGCCCACACAGCAAAACTGATCTTCTCAATATCCAATATCTTAAAATACTGTGTAAATCTAAATCTATAGTATGATATATATTCTCTCATATATATATTCTCATATATAGTGTGTATTGCCCACACAGCAAAACCAATCTGCTCAATATCCGATATTTTAAAACACTGTGTAAATCTAAAGTATTGTGTAAATCTAAATCTATAGTAGGAAATCTATTCTCCTGTATTCTCATATATAAGGTGTACTGTCCACACGGCAAAACCGATCTGCTCAAAATCTAATATTTTAAAATACTGTGTAAATCTAAAATACTGTGTAAATCTAAATCTATAGTAGGAAATCTATTCTCACATATATATTCTCATATATAATGTGTATTGCCCATGCAGCAAAACCAATCTGCTCAATATCCAATATTTTAAAATACTGTGTAAACCTAAGGCACAAACCTTTCCACATCCTGAGTTTTGAGAGGCTTCTCAATGAGTTGAGAAGTTGACCATAGTTTTTTCTTGGGATACATTCTCTTTCATTTTTTTTCTGCTTATTACTCTTATTATAAGGGAATTAAACATGGGTGTAATCTCTAGCCAAAGGTTTTTTCAGGCCTGGCAAAAATCCCCTGCTGAACGGCGTCACTGGAAACTGTTTTTTCTCCTTAAGATGCCCCTAAGTCAATTTTTCTTCCTGTCTTGAATCAGGGTCTTGTTCCAAAAATTATGTCCTGCCTAGAAAATGCCATAGTAAAGAATGAGGCTCTATTCTTGGCAAGTCCAATGGATGGGAGAGTGACTGGTGGCAGGTAAACAAGTTAATGCAAAAGAAAAGTGCAGGTCATTCCTCCCCCAAACATCTCTCATGTTGGACAGGCATGTTTTTGGGAGGATTTTCCAATTTCTGGATGGCAAGTAGGGACATTTTTGTTCAAACTGTTCAAAAAATAAATCTTATTATTTAAATATCAAAGAACCAATCATAGAAATATTTTAGACAGAAGAGCAGTACCTCTCTACCTTTTGAATGAAAATTAAATGAGTGGAAGAGGTTCCATCTGTAAGTGCTGTGTTGTTTTTTGGGAACAGCTGTGGTAGCAAACAGTATCAGACACGATGGGCACAGCTCTCAAGGGAACTGTGAGTCCCTTGTTCCCAGTGATGCACAATGGAATTTTAGCTGAAAATATGGCTCAAAATTTCTTTATTAATACGGTAACTTCGGTCAGGTCAAAGTAATGGCTACTTTTTGAATTTTTTTCTGTTTTATGTGATGCTTTTCCAATCCCCTTCAAAACACTTTCTGCTGTTACTGAGATGACTTTGTGCTTCCCAGTTCAAAATCAAGAAGCAACAGCAGAAATACAGTGCAAATTGATGTAAGATAACAAAATCTCAAAAAGACATTTTAAAAAATTTTATTTCCTATTATTGATCTTAAGACCTTCAAAATTTTGGTTGTATTTTTAAAAAACCTTTTAGCTGTCTCTGTTGTCCCTCAATTAAGCCATGAATGAAAGTACTGAAAAGTTTCTTTTGAGATGTCCTGGCCTGAGAAATATGAGGTGGGGTGGAAGGATTACAAAATTTTCCATGTAGAACCAACAGGCCAAAGCAGCATTTCCCCAATAAACAAAACTCAAATATGTGAAGGTCAAGTCTAGCCTAAGATCAAAAAATTTCCACAAGAAACTGTGCCAGCAGTTTCTGTTTTAGGGAAGAGCCAGCTCATTCTCACGGTAGATGTATTTTTAATCTACTTTCATTACAGATTCTCAATGGTTTGTTCTTCTCTCTATCCGAGAGAAATTGGTACGTGCAGAACTTATTCTTTGCATTATTTCTCAGTTTTGACTTCTCATCTTGCAAGTGTAGGATTAGTCACACCCCTGGTGCTAAGGGCTCTATAAACCTTGCTGGAAATCATCCTACTGGAATTTCCTGCTGGAAATCACATCCTCATGTGTGATGAGACAAAAGGTGGGACGGGTACGGAGAGGAGCACGAGAGAACAACGAGATGGGACTGAGCAGGATGGCAGTTCATGGCCTCAGGTCTCACTTGTCTTATTACATTTAATTTTGAAGGCCTCATTGTAAAGAAAATCTGAAGCCAAGCTCGGTTGTAGCTTCAGAGCTGTTTGCACAGAGCTTGTGCCCAGGTGGGAGAGCAGCAGGGCATGAAGTGGTGAAACACTCCCTTGGAGGTGCAGGGAGTGGTTCTGAACCCTGCCATCACTGATGCTGCCACCAGGCACAGGCTGGGAAATGGATTGGTAGAGAATTCTGACAGAAGGCTCACTCAGTGTGCATCTGCATGCAAACCTTGAGACAAGAGATGCTGACTTAGAAATGCCATGGAATAAGACAGATAATGTTGAGAGAGAAATGGAGCTAGAAACAAGTTTCAAAGGATGGCCTTGCAAATAAGACGGGATATTTTAGAGAAGTAGAGCTATGAAAGATGCATTGGAGTAGGACCCACTGTCACAGACACAATTTATGAAAAATCCTTTTGCTAGGATTTTTTCTACTGAGAAGCCTCAGAGGAAAAGAAAAACAATGGTTATCTGCTGCTGTGGAATGCAACAGGTGCATCTGTGATTGGTCTCATGTGGTTGTTTTTAATTAATGGCCAATGACAGTCCGGCTGTCTCCGACTGTCTGGTCAGTCACAAGGTTTTATTATAATTCCATTCCTTTCCTTGCTAGCCTTCTGATGAAATCCTTTCTTCTATTCTTTAGTATAGTTTTAATATATAATTTTCTTTAAATATAATATAAAATAATAAATCAAGCCTTCTGAAACATGGAGTCAACATTCTCATCTCTTCCCTCATCCTGAAACCCCTGCGAACACCACCACAACCCACGAGGGGTAATTTTAGATGATTGGCTTTGAGGCATTTACAGCATGGTGTGGCAAAAGCTGATAGGCCAAGAAACACTTGTGATGTATTGTAAGTAGGAAATAGTTGGCTTCTGATTGTGATGGTGTGAATTATAACATCTGTATTGTCTCACCCTTCACATGAGACTGAAAATGGAATAGAATTTTTTAAATCACCTCTCAGTTGCCCCATCTCTGGGTGAGAAAAAGGCTTAATCCAACATCAGAGCAGAAAAGACTGTGTGAGGAGAGGGACAGAAGGAGGGCTCAGAGGAGAGGCAGAAGGTAAAGTTTGAGTGGAAAGGCTCGTGTTTGTCCTCATCCCTGTTGACCCCCACTGAAGAGCCAGCAGTGGCTGCATATAAATGTTATTAACAAGCCCAAGTGTGGCTTTTACACTGAAGAGAGGGCAGAAGACTGGGAGAGAACATAAGCCTGAGTCCTGCAGCTCAGTGCACACACTGCTGACGTGTGATGGTGTCATGAGGATGGATGAAGAACAAAAATGGGAGGAGACAACACAACTCAATGCCCTCAGGAGCCAGTGGCCAGAAAAGATGGCCTCAAAAGAGAAGGAAAAACATCAGCAGATCCCAAGAAATTCAGTTGTTTTCTTTCAGTGTCCTCTGTCTCTACTTCCCCTTCATGCTGCTTCTGAGAAGTTTGTAGGGGCATTTCAGGGGTGGAAATGGGGATCATGAATGCAGCTGCTGCTTGAACACTGGAATCCTCCACCCGTTACCCAGTATTTAGGCACAAAGATTTGCTCATGTGAAACTTGAGGCTGGCTTTTTGAAAGCTCTAGTTAGAAAAGGAAACCAAATCCTACCCCAGAGAACGGAAGTTGCATTAACAGAGAGAAATGAGAGACTTTGTCCCTCATATCTCATTTGCTGGCTTAGATCTGGCTCTCTGCTGGCTCTGGGGGGTCCTCAATCCAGATGTCAAACCCCAATGTAATTTTGCTTAGTTTTAATGTATGGGCTTGGGCCTGGCATCTTGAATCAGCCCCTTTTTGCTATGAACCAAGAGAGCCCTGTTCTTACAGTGCTTGGGTGGATGGTTCATCTAACCCCAAGGAAATCCATACAGTCAGTAAGGCTGCTAAGGAAACACCTCCAGAACACAAAGGAAGGCATCTCATGGGGAGCACAGGGTACCAATCTTCAAGGAATTAAAGACCTGCCGTGAGGAAAAAGCTGTTTGGAAGGCTTCAAGAACAATAACATTTGCTAGGAGAAACCTTCTTGCTAAAGGTCCTGCCTGTGCTGGAAAATAGACTTGATGACCAAAGACACTGAATGCCTTTACTTCATAAAAGTTTTCTTTCAGGAATTCTGAGGAACCAATTTTGTGCTTTTTCTAGGCAAAAAGCTTTGGTTGCTACTGGACAAAAGACAGTAGAAGATGCAGTAAAATGGTAAGTACCTGTGATTTCTAAGGTGTGTCTTCACATTAAAGCTGCCTAAAAATCCTTGTTGATGTGCTCGTCCTGTTGCTGAATTTGAAGTTAGGTGCCATAAAAAACAAACCTGAATTTGAGATTTTTTTTTTTTATTTCACTCAGAGAGAGAAATATTTATATTTGTACTTATTCTGGGACACAAGGTAACTTGCAGAAGGTCCAGGTAAATTAAAAACAAGCATCTACTGTTATCAATGGGTCAGTCCATAGGACCAGCTTGTCTGGTCAGAAAATCCTCCTCAGCTTTAAGCCTCCTGAGAGAAAGGAGCAAGGAAAGAGGGAAAACTTTTGTAAACCCCTGACTGAACTTAGAAACACGTGCAGAAACAACAGCTGAAGGGGAACAGAAAGGCCCATCACAAATTAAGGTGAAAGGCTGATGGTCAGAGGGAGGTATTATTACAACTTAAATAACTTCTCAGTTTTGAATGCCACTAAGTTCTCCTCTCTACCAAGACTCTCACAGAGTGAGAGTGTCATTCATGTGCTGATAACTGATTTTTTTTGTTGCTGTTTTAATTCACCTTCACATTAAATACAGTCTTTCCTTGCACTTTCTTTTGTCTTTTTTCCCCCCTTTTTTCCTTGGTTCAGTTGTTTTTTCTTTTTTCTTCTATTTTATTTTCTTTTGTAAAAAGCCAGAGGAGGCATTTGAGAATGGATATTCTTTCCAAATAATTTTTTTCAGGGATGCTGCCACACTTCCCAACAGCCATTTCCAATCCAACAGCTGCAAAGACAAACATACATCATGTGAAAGACATGGCGAACAACATCATCACATGGCATATAAATTTCTGACCTTTCCTTGTGTGTTTCTGATTTGTCTTGCTAGCTTTTCTTAGGGCTGAATAAAAAAGGTCATTCTGAGTGGTTTTTTTAATCTTCAGCTGGTTTTAATTTTGTCATTCTTCAACATGTTCCACCTATTGCCTTTTTCCTCCTCCAGCTCTCTGTTTCCAGTCATGAAAAAGGGAGGAAAAAAACCCCAAACCCTAAAAAAGTTATTTTTAGTTTTCCTCATTTTCCTGAGATTCCCACAGACTTGTACCAAAGCTGTCTGCATCCTAGCATAACACTGTCCCTGCTGCACAGCTGGCTGACACTGACAGGAGTAAAGGCACATGAAAAAATGTAAAGTAGTCAAAAAATAAGCAGAAAAAAATTTCTCAGTTATTTAGTGCTGCAGAGAGAAAATTGAGCTTTAACTTCAGCTTTTCATTTGAAAGAAAATAAAACTGTATTTCCTTTTTGTGATCTCTGTTATAGAGTGTGGTAATGTTCCTCACTTGGGGTCACCAAACGTTGTGGTGTTCACAGGGGTTTCAGGATGAGGGAAGAGATGAGAATCTTGATTCCATGTTTCAGAAGGCTGATTTATTATTTTATGATATATATTATATTAAAAGAAAATGATATATTAAAACTATACTCAAAGAATAGAGAAAGGATTCATCAGTAGGCTAGCTAAGAATTGAAAGGAATGATGATAAAATCTTGTGACTGAGCAGAGAGTCCGAGACAGCTGGACTGTGATTGGCCATTAATTAAAAATAACCACATGAGACCAATCCCAGATGCACCTGTTGCCTTCCACAGCAGCAGATAACCATTGTTTACATTTCATTTCTGAGACCTCTCAGCTTCTCAGGAGAAAAAGATCCCATCAAAAGGATTTTTCATAAAATATGTCCTGTGACAATAGAGGCCTTCAGCCCCAGGAAACCAGAGCGATGCACACACTCACTCTCAGCATTGTACTCTTGATTTCAGGCTGCATTCCCACTGCAATGACCCCTCCCTGGATGACCCAATCCCCCAGGAATATGCCCTGTACTTGTGCCCCCGGGGCCGCCTGCACAGCCGCCTGCAGGACTTCTGGAGGGAGAGCAAGCGCCAGTGCGGCAAGAACAGGGCCCACGAGGTCTTCCCACACATCACCCTCTGCGACTTCTTCACGGTGAGGCAAGGACAGTGCAGGGGTCGGGTTTCAGCTGGGTGATGTTTGGTGTAACTGGGCCACCTGCTGTTGTCTGACACCACAACTTGTTGGTGATCAAATGACGTGAGCCAGGTCCAGGCACGTTGCTTAATGTCTGAGTGGTGCTGAATGTTTGAGTGATGCTGAATGTCTGAGTGATGATTAATGCCTGAGTGATGCTGAATGTTTGGGTCACAGTTAATGCTTGAGTTGGATGTTTCGGGGTAGCTGGCAGCTGGTACTGGAATCAGATTTATTTCGTTTCCTGACCCTTTAATTTGCTTGGTGGCAGTCATCTTGCCTTTTCCATCTTTAAGAAAATCTCTGCCTGCTCAGCACAGTGTTTCAAAGAACATGGTTGTTTCCAGTGCCATTTTGGTAGATCCATCTAGAGCAGCCCTGTGCAGTCCAGCAGCTGTCAGGCTTCCACGTGTCCATTGCTGCATGGATTTAGGATGATAAACCTTCCCATCCAGGGCAGCAGGGGCTGCATTCAGCCAGCTGTGCAGCAGGGACAGTGTTATCCTAGGATGCAGACAGCTTTGGTACAAGCCTGTGGGAATCTCAGGAAAAGATCTGCCTTCCCTAGAGAGCCCCATCACTGCTATGGTGGTGTGTCCCAAATTTTACTCTTTTTATTGAGGCTGAAGATTTTGTGAAATCTTTTGTGATGTCCAGCATTGGACTGGTCTGGAAAAACTCTGGAGCCTCCTGGGATCCAGTTTTAGCATGTTGACGGTGCAACACATGAACATCAGCTGTGTCTGGGATGTGCTGAAACAGGCTTGGGCTAGAGCAGCTGGACAAAAATTACTTTGTTCATCATGCTTTTATGTTAAACCATTGAGTGCTTCCTTCCCACCAAGGGTGGGTCATCACAACCATGCCAAAAAGTAGAGACAGTGAAAATAAGACTGTTGCAAAATACTGAGTGGTGCTCTTTGACCATTAAACACAATTCTACAGAACAAAAATCGTTCATAAATAATGAATGCCATGCACTTGGGAGGCATTAAGTTTAAAGGCCTGCCTGGAAGAGATGACTGCATTGCAACCCTCACCTTGCACATCTCAGTAAAGGACTATAGGGTAACAATAACACAAATTCCTACTTGGAATTGAAGAAGGAAATCATGATCCCTGGCTCATTTCAGACTGGTTCCTGCACACCTGACAGATGGTAAAATATTTTGGCTTTTTCCTACCCAAGCTAGATAAACCTTGGGTTGAAGGCTCCATCTCCTGTTATAGAACCAGGACATTGTGCTGATCCAGCTGCCAAATACTGCTGGGTTTAATGCCAGGGATTTCAGGCAAATTCCTAGGTATTTTGTGTTTCTCAGGAAGTTTATAGCCCCACAGTTTTCTGGCAGTGCTGTATGACGGAGGCTACAACACTGGCTGTGAGCTGGTGGGTGAAGCCTGCTCCTCCTCTGTTTTCTTCCAGTGTGAAGACCAGAAAGTGGAATTATTGTATGACGTCTTAAAGAAAGTGGGTGACAGCTTTTCCCAGATCTTTCCACCATCCATTTTCCTAACACTACATGCATCTCCCAGCTACCTTGGCTTCTTCATTGATGACAGCCAGGCAAATGTCCTCAAAGACTTTGCTGTGGCATTCTCAACAGAGGCTTCAGCCCTGGCAGGTAGGACCAACACCAGGGGGAAAATTGGAGGGTTGTAGCACAAATGTGTAGCCACAATACTGAAAACATTCCCTGTGTCTCCAGGGGAGCTTAGATGATGTTTTCTTGCCAGCTAACAGCTTCTGCTGCTACAGATTTGCAAGCAGAGTAGCCAGAGGAGGATGTTTTAATCTTTGAAGACACAGCACTTTTGCCTAGAAGCTGAAATAATTTTGTGTGCAACTTGGCAGGTGATTGATCAGGATATCTGAGATGGGCAGGGACATAACACATCCCAGATCTCCACCCTCATGGTGCTGTGGCCCAGCTTGAACTCAGAAGAGGAAAGTTATTGGAGAAGACTTCAGCAAAATATTTAATGTATTTTAGAATATACAAATGTTGTAAAGTTTGTAAATGGTCTGGCTGCATCCTTAGGAACAGGGCCCAATTCCTTTTCCAAGGGAAACTGCATCACCAGTGGAGACTGAAGGGGCACAGCCCCACCACAGCTTTGTCTGGGAGAAATGAGTTCAGTACACCTCAGGCTGGGAGAGAAATTCAACATGATCATTTCTTTTCCTCACAGATGAAGCCAGGAAGCAAATCCAGTCCAGATTTGTGAATGATTTTGGCATGATCAAAACCATTACACCCTTCAAAACCATTATTCAGTAGATCTGCTCTACCACTAGTTGCTGTGATATTTCCTACATCATGCAGATTGTGTGGGATAAAACAAGAGGAGTTTTCAATGACCTTTCTTCCTATGTTGTGCTGTGATTGTTTCATCCCCAGACTGCCACGTGAAGCCCTCCTTGAAGCAGTTCCACCTCACCTTGGCTCACAGGTTTTATCCTCACCACCTGAAGACTTTGGAGCAACTGGCCAAATGCATTAACCCAGGGGAGCCCTGCCAGTGGGTGGCTGCTCTCTATTCACGGGACATGCGTTTTGTGCATTACCAGGTACTGGAACCAGATTTATTTCATCTCCCGAGCCTTTCATTTTCTTTGCTACAGTCTTCTTGCCCTTTTCATCCTTAAGAAAATCTCTGCTTGCTCAGCACAGTGTTTCAAAGAGCATGGTTGTTTCCAGTGCCATTTTGGGCTGAAGAACTGCACTCCTGAATCAGTAGATAACACCTTTATTTTGGCAGATTGCTTGACCTGTATGTCTCAAAATATAATTCCAAACCCCAGGGAAGAAAACTAATCTTACCATGACATGAGAAAATAAGAGACAAGAAATTGTGATTCTTTAATATTTTCTAGGATTTGTCAGTTTACAGATTTGCAGCAAAATTCCCTTCAGCAAAATTAGTTTTCTTGATTGTTCAAGCCATGATGAAAACTGCAGCTGTGAGCAGGGGTCAGTTCTCATTGATGATTTTCTGCTTAGCAGACTCAGTTGAAACCAGTCAACATTCTTTCAGTTCTCATTTCCAAATTTAAATTACAGAATGTTCAAGAGCTTTTTGTCAGATCAGTAAATCGCTTTGTCACAAGTCTCATGTTGGATTTTAGTCACACTCAGGAGACATGCAAGCAATCACAAAAATAGGTCAGATCTATGTTTGCTTGCAAATGTCTGTACCAGTTAGAGGGGGAAAAAAGTATTTTTGTGAAAACCAAATGCCTGTATTTAAACATATTGTAAGTGCGGTAGTTCTTCCTTTTCTGTTGGAATCTGAAATGCAGGGAATTCTCTGAACTTTGGGCTTGGAAGCCAAAGTTTAGAATTAAACATAGGATTTTATCTGAGACCTTGGAAAAGGTTTCCAAACTTAGGTGCTAAGAACCTGGCTAAGAATGTGGCTTTATGGTTTAAAGCAGAGACATGTTAAGGAAAGTTTAGCGCTTTAGAGTGTAAGATATAGAAAAATAAAAGTAGTTACAGAGGAAAACAAGAGGTTTAGAATGCAGCACTGTAGGTTTGTATGTCATAACATGGTTGGCTAAGAAAGCTTACACTGTAGCATGGGTCCATAAGATGAAATATTTAAGGATTGGGTCAAAACCATAAATATCCTTGTTGGCAGTGTTTTATTGGTCAAAAAATCCTTAAAAGGTCTTCTAACTAGGGGTCCTGTGACCTTCTGAACCATGCAGTAAAGATGTGAGCCAAACTCACCCTTCCTGCCTATGTAGAAGAAAAATAAATCACATCATCTAAAAATCTCAGAGGTCCCATCTCAGATTCTTTCCAAAACCCCTACACTTTCCCTCTGCCAAAGTGCCACAGCAGAGCAGGGGGCAGAGAGGGAAACAGAGCTGGTTCCAAAGTGCCACAGCAGAGCAGGCTGCAGAGAGGGAAACAGAGCTGGTTCCAAAGTGCCACAGCAGAGCAGGCTGCAGAGTGGGAAACAGAGCTGGTTCCAAAGTGCCACAGCAGAGCAGGCTGCAGAGAGGGAAAGAGAGCTGGTTCCAAAGTGCCACAGCAGAGCAGGCTGCAGAGAGGGAAACAGAGCTGGTTCTATGTCCAGGACAGGCGAACAACCATCCCCTGAGCAGCTGCAGCCCGGGGCACACCCCCTGACCCTGCTGTGTGTCCCTGCAGAGGCTCAGGGCCCTCTTCCAGTACAAGCCCCAGAACATTGATGAGCTGATGATCAACGCTGGGGACTTGATCTACGTGGATCCCAGGCAGCAGAGCGAGGCCGGCGAGGGCTGGGTGATCGGCACCTCGCACCGCACCGGCTGCAGGGGCTTCCTGCCCGAGAACTACACCGAGAGAGCCCTCGAGTCAGACACCTGGGTCAAGCACAGGTAATGTGGGCTGGGCTTTGCCTTGGCAGCTCCTCCTTGCTGGGAGTCCTGAGGGTCTGGGTGGGATGCTGGGACATGTTCTGAGAGAAAAGAGACAGGGCACAAAGCTGCAGGTTTGAGCACAGAGTTCGTAAGTTCAGCTGCTCCAGGGATGACCCCTGATCACTCTTGAAGAACCTGAACACCCTAATGAATTTTGAAAGAGCACATTCTGCCAGGGTAGGCTCAGCCTTCAGCCTGGCTCTCTGATCTCTTCTTTTTTTTGCTCCTCATTTCAAGGGCTTGTAAAGTTAGCTTGAAATGAAACCACACAAAGGTTGCTCCACCACCTTGGCACCACCCTTATCTTGTTGATGTGCCCTGCATCAGAAGGCACCTGTCTGGCTTCCTGCACCTCATTCTGCAGCACAGCTGATGCTGCTTGCAGATTAGAGCTGATTTTTCTAAGCTGGGAAGTTTTGGTGTGCTTCTTGATATCTCAGAGAAAGGGAGGAGGCCACCAGGTAGTTATTTCCTGCTTGAAGGTCCCACTTTGGCAGGGTTACACCCAATATACACCATCAGTTCTTCATATTTTAACCTAATTTTTATGGGGCATATTCTAAATGAACAGCAAAGTGATGAGCTGGATTGCAAGTGTGCAAAAAATGTTGAAATGTTGAATGGAACATGAATCCTGGCTTGCTGGTCGTGTAAACAACATCATGACTCAAAAGTTTCTTCTATTTGTGTGCGTGTGTGTGTGTGTGTGTGTGTGTGTGTTGCTTCTGCTTTTTCTACAGGGAATATGTTTTTGACACAGCTTCAAGATCCTTCACCAAAACAGAAAAGCAACCCAATGTAAAGCCAAATGGGGAAGCCCATAATCTCAGTATGTCAAGGAGTGTAACCAATGTTGTTTCTCTTCAGGTAATTGTTTTTTCCATTTCTCATCTTTGCCACATGCTTAGGCAAATATGCTACTAATTAATGGCATTTAGTAAATTCAGTAGTATCTTCCTTTTCTTCCCTCATATTTTCATGTTTTGTTGTACATTTATACATACTGTTTTATTTATTATATTGTATATTTATATATACATACAAACTCATACGGTATTGTATCATATCTCATAGGTTTTTTTTAATGTATATGATGTATATCACACTTGTCTTTCATAAACTTTCCCTGTTCCTGTCAGAGTAGCACAACACATGAATTCTCTGCTCAGGTTTCTCTGAGCACAGCCTCAGTGGGTATGGAGGCAAGTCTGACAGGTGAGACACAGGCACAACCTCCCCTGACTTCCACATGGCTTCAGGCAGAGTAAATAAATCAGAATTAGGCTCACTGTTCACAGCTGCTCTTACATCTGGATTCTGTGGATGTCAGCTTGGAGGTTTCCATGGCCCCAGATAATATTGAAATGTTCATTTTTCTTCTTTATTTTTAGATATGTAGCTAGTGCAGATAACTGCACAGAACAGATAGCTGGAGTGGTTCACAGCACTGGTAGGATCACATTTTTCACCCAGGTCCAAAATCTACATGATCAATTTTTCCCATGTCCACTGATCTTCTGGGAGGAAGAGCAAAACGAATAAGGACTCTGATTTTTTCCTACAGCACATTTGCACCTGAGTTGCCTTTTTGGCTCTGTCAGAGATGCCAAAATGCATTTTCAGCACAGACATGCCTCAGAAACCCCTTTAGCTTGCTGTGCTGGGCAATAACCCTGGGTTGGTTTCTGCTAATATCAGAGGAACTGAGGGCACCTTGAGGGAGTTTCCATCCTGGGGCCTCTAGGACAACATCTATATGACTGTAAGAACTTTCTGAACAAGTCACACGTCCTTCCTCTGGCTCTTGGCCTCTCTTATCCAGGTCAGATCTGGGGCAGAGCCAAGGCTTGGCCTGAGAAATGTGTTTTGCAGAAGGGCAAATCTCCAGTCTAGAGTTTCCATGGCCTCTGGGTTCCTCTCAAGGAGAAGGGGAAGACCACAAAACCTTGGGTTTATACTCTGATCTTGTGGCAGTTGACGGGTGTTTCGTGGCAGAATTGCAAGTATTTAACAAAATGCATGAACATCAACCTCAAACAACTGCTTAAGAGTTCCCTTCTCTGTTGCTGAAGATGCAGAGCACTTAATTCAGTCCTGCAGCAGTAACACTGTTTTAAAGTTTTAAAACCTTTGACCTGTTTCTCCTTATCTTCTTCTCACTTGTATTTAATGTGCATTGTATACTAACCTCAAACTACTTCAAGTTTATTTGTAATTCCATGCAGACTGAGTAAAAAAGTGGCCTTGTAGGAGATCTGGGTTCACTGTTGATTTGGCCACACAAATGAAATTGTAGGAACAGTATTTTCACAAGGAAAAGAAGGAGAAGCTTGGTGTTAGTTCTGGTGTAGAAAAGGGCATTGCCAGTCAGATCTTAGCTCATTTTCTGCTTTTTGTTTATATCACCCATATGATATAAATTAAAATTATGATTCCTTCCCACACTGAGGTTGAAAGATCTGTTACCAGCACTGCTTTTCACTTGTGCTAACACAGAATTAAAACCTGCAGCCCATGAGGGTCAGGGATGTGACCTTTGACAGGACAAGAGCAAGAGACCTTAAGCCACACCAGGGGAGGTTCAGGCTGGATATCAGGAAGAATTTTTCCACTGAAAGGATGGTCAAGCACTGAACAGACTTCCCAGGGAGGTGTCGAGTCACCAAACTTGGAAGTGTACAAGAAACATCTGGATGTGGCACTCAGTGCTGTGCTTGATTTGACAACGTGCTGGTCAGTCAAAGGCTGGACTCAAAAATCCCGAAGGTCTTTTCCAACCTTAATGATTTTATGATTCTCTTTCATTTGCCTTCAGTGGAGAACCAGTCAGGCTTATCAGTGTCCTAAGGACAGGCATCTATTCTGCTGTCTCTTCTCCAGGAATCCAGGCTTTTCCTGCAGGTTGTAGATAACATCCTTATGAAATTCCCTCTTCCCAGAACGCTGCCCTGAGGAGAGGGGTGCTGGTGATGAGCCATGGGGAAAGAGTGGATCAGGTCTTTGGCAAGTCTTGGCTTCAGCAGTGCTTGACTGCAGATGGTGAGTAAGGGAACAGGAGGATCTTCAAAAGCCAGGACCAAACCCAATTAACCCCAGGAATGGGTAGAGGAGATTCAATCTTTGTGTAAATGATAACAGTGCAGGTCAGGCACAGTGCTGCTTCAACCTGCACATAACCAGGTCACGGTGTCCTAAAGTCCATCGTGCTTATGCTCCCTACATTCTGCAGATAAACAAAGCTCTTGTGCTGCTGATGGAATTGTGTCTCACTGTGCATGAACAAATCACAGGAGCACCCTCATCACCTCTCATTAGGTGGTTCTTGTCAGACCCCTCCACCTTTCTGGGCCTGGGTCAGAACTGTGGGCTCTTGATCAGAGTCACACTACATCACTAGTCTAACCTGGGCAATCTGTGGTGGAAATGAAATGCCAGCACTGACCTAAATAAAAATCTGAATTTCCTCTCTCTCTCAAAAAATAAAAATAAAAAGGTATGTTTTCAGGTGAAGAAAACTGACCCAAAACAGGGAAATGTGTGTCAGGAGGAGGAGGGGAACAAGAAGGTGGGTGTTCAAAAATGAGAGGTTTGTGCTGAAAGTCTGCCTTGCTATGCTGGAGACTTCCCATCTTTAAGGCATGGAATTCACATCAGATAAGGAGAGTGGTGTATATATATACCATATAGCTGTATAATCAATAATCAATTGTTTTCATTTTGATTCAGTGGAAATGGGGTTTTTTCAGTGATTTTGGCAACTATAAAAAAAAAATACAGATAAGGAGTCAATTTTTGTTTGTCTTGAGTCCCACAAAGCCAAATTCTCCTGATTTCCTGTTCTTCCTCTCCTCCTCCCCATTTGCTCCTTCTCAGCTTGAAGAAGAGGGGCTGTTCTCTTAGGACAGATGATTTCCCAAGCCAGTGTTTTGATCTTAAAATAAGGTAATAGCACTGGCTGTTGTTCATCAGTGAGACACTGACTGTCTGTAAAACAAACACACCACAGCTGCTGCCTCCCTTGTGCCACAGCAAAATGTCCTGCCTTGTTTCAGGGAAATACTACAGAGCAGATCTGAACTTTCCCTCCTCCCTGCCAAGGCAGAAAGACAGCATGAAGCAGTTTGAATGTGATCCTCCTTTATCTTGCTGTGGTATTTTCCAGTCAAGGCTTATAGGTAAGCTGGATATTATCCTCCTGCAAATGTAAGGGTTTGGGAAGCAGGCTGTCATCATCTGCCAAAGCTCATGCTGGCCTTGCAGCAGAAAAATTTCCTGCCAGCACTGAATTAAGGCCACAATTCTCTGTGGGCAACCACTGCAATATCTTAAAAAGTAAAACAGAGAACACAGCTGATTACTTGTCTTTGAGATCCCCTCTGCTGGTTCCTGGAAGAAATCAGAACACGGCCTGTGCCCTGCTGCTTGTCTGCAAGGGGTGAATGGGAGTGAAGGGGCTGGCCAGAGGGAGCAGCTCCATGGTCAGCAGAGTGTGGTCACCTTGCTGCAGGAGGATGGGTGCTGTGGGTTAGGCTGACTCAATTCACTCACCAGATTGTGCTCCCTGGGCAAGAGGCATGACTGTGACAGTGCTGGTCTCCTGCAATTGCTTGTCTCTGATGGTTCACATTTATGGACACAGCCACATGCCTAACTGCTGTTTGCAGATTTGGGGTGAACCTTCTGTAATTATCTTTCCAGCACTCATTTCAGAATTGATGTTTCCACCAGAATGAGCTTTCTAATGAGCTCAATCAGCAGATAGTGAGAAAAAAGTGAATGGAAAGGGACTGTCAATATATGCCACGTGGATGAAATTTTTAAAGTTCTGAGGGTTTTTTTGCAGAAAGTGTTTTGTAGTAATCTCTCATCTGTCACACTTTGCTGTTGCCATCCAGGGGAAGCTCTGCTGGACCAGGAGGTGACAGTCAGCTACGTGTACTCGTCCCCTGCCCTGCGCTGCGTGCAGACAGCTCAGCATGTACTGCAGGGTAAGGCAGCAAAACCTGCCAGGTGCTTCTGCCACACTGCAAACATCTTCACCAAACCTCTCTGAAGCCTCTGACATCAGCAGTTAAGGGAGATGCTCAACTTTGTGGTTGGTTGTGGTTTTCTTTAAGCAGGCAACACGAGGTGGTTTTGACTGCTGGTAAGGCAGGCAGCAACAAACCTGCTGGTGTGTGTGTGTGTGCATTCTGTGGGATGTATCAGAGTAACTCTGGGCTTTCCTGGTTAGAATGGACCTGCTGGTGTGTGTGTGCATTCTGTGGGATATATCAGAGTAACTCTGGGCTTTCCTGGTTAGAATGGACCTGCTGGTGTGTGTGTGTGTGCATTCTGTGGGATATATCCCAGTAACTCTGGGCTTTCCTGGTTAGAGTGGACCTGCTGGTGTGTGTGTGCATTCTGTGGGATGTATCAGAGTAACTCTGGGCTTTCCTGGTTAGAATGGACCTGCTGGTGTGTGTGTGCATTCTGTGGGATGTATCAGAGTAACTCTGGGCTTTCCTAGTTAGAATGGACCTGCTGGTGTGTGTGTGCATTCTGTGGGATATATCCCAGTAACTCTGGGCTTTCCTGGTTAGAGTGGACCTGCTGGTGTGTGTGTGTGTGTGTGTGTGTGTGTGCATTCTGTGGGATTTATCCCAGTAACTCTGGGCTTTCCTGGTTAGAATGGACCTGCTGGTGTGTGTGTGCATTCTGTGGGATTTATCCCAGTAACTCTGGGCTTTCCTAGTTAGACTGGAATCTAATGTTATATAAAAGAGGTATTTCATATCTGCTGGAATTCAACATTAGTAGCTGCTCATCCAATCACCACTGCCATGTCTTCCAGAAGATGTTTTGACCCAAATATCAGATGTTTCCAGAGCTCTGAAGGAACTGATTGTGAATCAGGGAAGACTGCTTCCATGCTTCCTTTTGCAAGCCAAACTATTTTAATCCTTCATATTGCAGAACATCTTTCCCTTCCTTTCCTCTCCCTCTCTTCTTTTTTCATCTCCTGTTCCTTTCAGCAAGTTCACACTTCATTGCCATGTTTACATCAGAATGCATTCACTGCCATGGAGTAACCTGTCCTGAGAATACTCAAAATATTTCTTTTGACAAGAGAATTCCATTTCTAATACTGGACAATTTGGACAGTTTACTGCCCCACTGATGGCAAATTTACTGAGGAACATTGGGCAAAATGCCAGATAAAAATGGTAAAAATATTTCCTGTCTGAAGTTTTGCAAAAACTGAGTTTTTCCCCTCTAGCAGAGCATCACAAGAGAGCTTCAAAAATTATGTTTATGATAATGATGATAATAATTTGCAGTCCCTTTATGTTAGTCATACAATAATATAATGGTGGTTTCCTTTAATCAGTTGGTTACTAATAAGTAATTAATTTTCATTAATGAAGTATAACAGCAAACAAGGCAGAATGTATAGCCTGAATGTAGCACTTCGAGTGTACCTTTCTCCTAAGATCTATTTCTTGTTCTTGCAGGGCTTAAATTAAATCAAAAAGTCAGAATCAGGGTGGAACCAGGACTGTTTGAATGGACCAAGTGGGAAGCAAGCAGAGCAATCCCTAAATTCATGACTGTGGCAGAACTGGTGGAGGCATCTTACGACATAGACACCAGTTACAGGTAATCGTGTCTGGCTGATGAAGCTGTGGGGTTTTCCCTGAGATGTCTTGTCCCTTTATGTGTCACAAATCATTGCAAACACTGCAAAGATGGGGTGATTCTGATCAAATTCAGATCAAAATAGGATACAGAAATAAGATATGCTGTCACCAGCACATGGGTGCACTAGCACAAATGTCTTGTGCATGGGACCAGCTCTCCTCTGGTGTTGCCTTGACATTATGGGCATTAATGTCAGGTCTCAGTAGTTTTGCTTTTGTCTTTGGTTCATGTGAGAAACACTTTGGAAATGTGAAGAATAACCTGATTTTCAGTGACAAAGAAATGTGACATTATATAAGGTCAGTCAGCCCTTGGCTGAGGGTCTGCAGGGCAGCAGCAAGAGGTTTTGGGGACAGGCAAGATAAGAGCATTTCACTTTAATTGATGTTTCTGGCATCATTTTAAGTTGCTCAAAGATTACTACTGTGCTCAGCAAGGACTTTTTGGAGCCCTCATAACTTGGTAGGGTGAGGGTCGATGCCGTTTCGGAGCTCTTGCAAACCACAGCCTGGCAGGAAATGATAAACCTCCAGTTCAGTCTAACTCCTCATCTTGTTCACAAACCAGGCTGCTCAGTGCTTGCAGTGCACAGCCAGATCCAGGAAATTACTCAGCTGTCTCTGGGATTTCCCACATATTCAAGAAACAGGGAAAGGAAGCATCTAATTTCTTAACACATTCCTTACAGCCAAGGATGTGTCTTTGTTTCAGACTGCATAAAGTCTCCAAAGTCCTTATTTTTTGGAGCACAGGTCTTTCTGGTGTGTTCTTCACTAACAGGCTGTATTCTCTAGGGGTTTTTTTTGGTCCAAAATCATTTGCCTCAGAAGAAACTGTGCAAATGCACAGCAGTGGGAGGTTCAGAGGGGAATCTCTAAGGCAATGTTACCTACAGTGTTGAGGCCCCTCACAGCTCACTCAGGTCCAGGCAAAAACAGGGGGGATGAACTATAAAATTCCACATAGAATGCCAATTTCTTCCCATCACATGCAGGGCTAAAAAATCCTTGGGTGCCAGCTGTTACCAATGAGTGAGATCACTTAAAGGATCATCAGCAAAGGGTATCAGTAAAAAACAGATATAATATTAAGCGCCAGCACAACAAAATTCATTGGCAAGGTTCACCCTACTACTGAGCTCGTGGGACAGCAGGGTCTGGTTTTACCAATCCAAGCCCTGCAAAAGCTGTCCATCACCCAAGCCCCACCAGGCATCTGAGGCTGCCCTGATTCACAGCAGTGTCAAGGTCTGGCTCTTCGTTTTTTTGGGTGCCTGAAAAGCCTTGGTATATAAATGAAAGAATGCCTGGTCTCAGCAAAAGTGCTCAGATATTTTGGAGTGAGGCATTGTGATTTCTGTCCCTGGAAACACCTTTTTTTTAAACTCTAGCAGTGAAAGCCTTTACTATCCATTTGGCCAGCATTGCAGATAAGCCTTGTTCATTGTACATTTTTATTTACTTGGTTTATTGAAGAGATTAATGCTGAGGTACCAAATCTTGCAAGCATTCACATCATTGTTGTCTCTCCTGTTTGAACTCAGTCAGGATTAGAAGACCCAGGCAGCTCTGCAGCTCATGTCTGGGCAGTGCTTCTTGCTGGCAGAATTACTCAAAGTTTTCTTAGGTGCAAATCCTGCTTTAAATAATCTCCACTGTAAACTACAAGTTTTATTGAAGCCTGGTTTTCCCTGTATCTGGTGTTTTATGAGCTATGAGACTTAGACATGAAATGGAATGGAAATTACTCAGAGAGAAGCTAATGCTTCAGACAAGCAGAGGTAACAGTGTGTCAGCCAAGGCAGTAGATAAATCTTTTCACTAAGTGCCTTTTTCTCTGGTGTAGTCATTCAATGCTGCCAAGAGTGCATTCATCTTGATTAACATATATTTGTGATTTTATTGTCAGGGGTAACTTCCCACTCTCCTCTCTGGTGCCATCAGAAAGTTATGAAGACTATGTCAGCAGGAGCTCTGCGGTTATCAAACACATCATCAGTGCCTGCCCCTGCAAAGGTAGGGGTCCCAGGTCTTTGAATATTCTGTCAGACCTTGCAGTAAGAGGAACTGGCAGAGATTTGCCATCAGAAACACATTTAATGTGAGCTTTTGGCACTGCACAGAGCTTAAGGTAGACTCAGTGCTTGCCCTGGGCTACACTGAAGTAACATAAATGCAATTTATGGAATAGAAATGAAAAAAGTGAAATAAAACTGAGACAGTAGAGTACTAAATTGTGAAAGTATATGCTTTTCTTTGTCTTTCTACACCAGGAGGTAGCTCAGCAAAAGATGACATGCTTTTCTGGAAAGCTTTTTTCTCTTTCCCTCACAAATGCCTTCTCTCAGTAGCTGGCATGCTCAACACACCAGATATTTTCTGCCCATCACAACACACTCTGCCACATTATCAAAGAGGTCTGCAAAGATGAACAGCCCCAAAGCCACCTCATCCCCATCTGCTGGTGGAGAATGTGGCAGTGCTTCAGCTCCCTCACTCCCTCACATGGTTCTTTGCTTTTCCTGCTGTGCCAGGTGTCATCCTCATCGTGGGCCACGGCTCCTCCTTGGCATCTCTCACCCGGGCACTCACAGGGCTCCCCAGCAGAGACAGCAGAGACTTTGCCCAGATGGTGCAGAAGGTGAGAGGATTTTATTTCATCAGGAAGCCTTTGGGTTGTTTCATTTTGTTTTCATTGTGTTTTTAATAAGGAGAGTGCTCATGCAGCTAGACATGTGTAACAGCATGCCAGCAGCAGGGACATCAGCTCTCTCCTTCCAAAGGGAGTCGCACACAGTTTTAGCAAAGCACCAGAGGTAAAGAGAAGGATTTTATTCTGGGGGCTTTGTATGTGACTGGCAGCTAAGTCTTTGGAGAAGATTTTCATCTGGAAAGTCAATGCCATGTAACACCTACAGACAAGAGGCACATTTGGAAACCTCTCCACTTGGAGCTGGTCTCCTTCCTTTCAAAGTGGGAAAAGGAGGCTTTGGGGTGACCTAATTGCAGCCTTCCAGTACCTGAAGGGAGCCTACAAGAAAGATGGAGAGAAACTTCTCAAGAGCCTGGAGTTACAGGACAAGGGGCAATGGCTTCAAACTGACAGAGAGTAGGTTTAGATGGGATGCTAGGAAGAAATTCTTTACTGTGGGGGGGAGGGTGAGGCACAGGAACAGCTTGCCTAGGTATGAATGTGGAGTGGTGACACAAGTTCAGCTTTCACCCCTGAGGCTTCCAGCCTGGTTTTAGTTCATTTCAGAAGTGACAGAATATCAGGGGCTGCTCTTTTCTGTGGCAAAGCCCCTCCTTCATGTCAAAGCAGTGACCCTGCTGGTAACTTCCTTCTCAGATCCCTGCCCTGGGCATGTGCTTCTGTGAAGAACAGAAAGAGGAGAACAAATGGCAGATGGTCAACCCACCAGTGAAGACATTAACTCATGGAGCAAATGCAGCATTTAACTGGAGAAATACTATCATGGAAGATTAAAAGGCCATCTCTGCCTTTGCAGTTGTCAAAAAGGAGCCAAAGGCAGATTATGGTTCATCACAGTCCAGTGATTCATCCAGAAGACACACAGAGGGTGGGAAATGCCCTCTCTGAGCTGTCAAAGCACAGAAAAACACTTCTGAGTTTGGTGCTCGGATTTTGTTTTTATTTTGGTGACTGAGAAGAATGAACTTGAGAGGTGGGGCTCAACTGAGAAATAAGACTTTTGATGGTGGTGAGAAAAGCACCTTTTAACCTTTCCTGAGCATAAAAATGTTTAATAAATATGGATATATAACTACCTGATTATCAACTCCACTCCACGAGGCACTGAAGTAAACAATGTTCTGTGTTTAAGACTGAACTACATCCAGCAATAATTCCCTTTTTTTTTCCTTCTTTAGTCACTTGGATATTATCAGACAACAGAAAAACTGGGACTGAAAAAAGTCAACTCCTACCCAAAGAGGAGCTCTAGCCAAAGCCACTGTGTTTCCTGTTCACTCCATCAGTTCTGTGAGAGCAAATACCACACTGACTCTGAATTTACCTCTTCTGTGAAGGGAGTCCATTTTCTATCACATCAGCTCCTCATCCAGCAATTGTCAAGTGATGCTTATTGCAAAAGGGTCTAAAATATTTCTTTTTGAAGGGAAATGAACCCATTGCTTTACTGTTTCTGGGACAAGTTTTTGGTGACAAAACTGCGACATGAGCAGCTTTAACTCTGAACCCTTCCCAAGGTGGCACTTGCAGCACAAGAGCTTTGCTTTGTGCTGGTTTGTGCTGAATTTATTAATGGTGACCCACCTTCCCAGTGGGTCATCTGGAAGGTTTCTGCAGCTCTTCTCTAGGTGATGTGTTTAATTAACAGAAAGTAGCCCTGAAATTTTATGCACAAACAGGAACATGCCTTTCCACTGTCCATTTTTCTTCTGCTTTTCCTCTCTGCTTATCAGATAACTGCCTCCAGGAAAGTACAATGTTTCTTTCAATGAAAGGAAAAAATGAAAATGTTTCTCTCAGAGCATGGCTAAAAATGTTTTCACTTTCACTCCTCATTACCTGCTCCTATGTGACATCTCCCTGCATGCCATTAGCCATGGGGGCATGCAGAGGAGCCCATCCAACATTGCAGCTTTGGGGCTGAGAAGTGTCTGACAGGAACATTTATCTGTGGGTGTAGAGATTTTGTTATCTCAGCTGTGCAGCTGCAATGATTCATTCTGACTTTCCAGCTCTGGTGGAGTTGCTTGAGCTCTCAGTTTTCTGACAATGCTGCCATTTTACAGTGAAAGTCAAATGTCCCAGGGCCAAGACAGGAGCTATTTAATGAGCAAGGGCACAGGACTCGAGCTCAGGGGATGGGTGGCTACAGCTGCAGTCCTAGAAAAAGATAAAAACACCAAATGTCACCACAACCTTTTCTTGATCAGGGGAAGCAGGATGCCACTGCAGTGTTGAGAGAACTGTGGCTTGGCTACTTCTCCACATCTCAGCCCAGCACACACTTGCTGTCAGCCAAGAGAGGCAGGTGTGGTGAGGGATGAGTTTGCTCTCAGCTCTGAAGGTGGTGGCCAGGCTCCTCTGTGGCCAGCAGAGAGGGCAGGGACTCAAAGGTCTGTCTGAGAAAGGGATGTATTGTACAAGAAAATCAGCAAAGCCACTTAAAAGACTGGTCATTTTAAATGTATTAATGATATTAAATTTCATTACAAATTTTCTTCTACCTTTCTAGAGATAACAAGGGTTTTTTTCCATAATGATGTTATACATTAATCCTAGATTGGACTGCAAACACCAGCTTGATTTAAGAATCTGTGTCTTCCTTTAAAATACCAAAATAAAATACCATGTGAGATCTCTCCCTTCACCCAATGGAATCACATGTATTGTCAGGGTGGGTCTGTTGTGAAAAATAACCTGTAAGAACATTATCATCCCATTTCTTTAACAGCATCATCTCCTTTCTTTAGGAACTTTTCTACATTGCTGTCACTGTGTATAACATAACAGTGAAACTTCTTTTTGTTTCAGTCCTTCTGGTCTGCAGAAATAATGTTGCTGAAAGCCAGTTAATGGCACTCTGATCCTGTTATTATCCATCCAGCTCCTGTCCTTAATGAGTGTGTGCAGCTCCCTAGAGGCAGGTGACAGGAGGGGAGAAGGATGTGGCTGGGGGAACTGTCTGTCTGTCTGTCTCTTACAGGGGATGGATTTCACTGCTCCACCCAATTTTGGCATCTAATCAGATGCCCACAGTGCATGGACAACACTATTGACAAGCTAAATATACTTAACAGGCAGATTCCTAAAGCACTCAAACCAGAATCCCACTGTGCTTTTCTTTTATTCTCTGTACAGATGCACTTGAATTAATTTTACTTCAGTGAAAGCAATGAATTAAACTTCAGAGCATATTTAAAAGAGGGTTTGGGAGCTTAAGTTTTCTTTTGTGATGAGGACAAATGCTTGGTCACAAAATACTGTACTAAAGTTATAGAGATTTCTCCATGCCTGCTGTTTGAGTCAATTGAACAGAGAAAACAGGCAACACCCTCAGGAACCCATTGAAACCATCTCAGTTTTAATCATGGAAGGGCAAGGACAAGCTCTTCTATTCACAAGGACCCTGCTTTTGGCTTTCCTGGGACCCCCTGAACACAGATTCAACCCTAAACACTTTTTAAAATCAGAGATGAAATGATGTCATTAACATACAAGGTTTCTTGGTTGTACAATCTGGTGCTTGGGAGAGAAAAAGAATTCCTAATGTGGTGTGTACACAGCATGAGACTAATCACAAAACACAGGTGAAATGAAGAAAATGTCCTTGGAATCTTCCAAGTTATTTTTGTGGTAAGCAAAATAAATGGGAAATTATTTTCCAGTTTCTTGGGGGTTTTTTTGTGATTTTTTGTTTGTTTGTTTGGGGTTTTTTGGTTTTGTTTATTTGTTTGGTTTGGTTTTTTAATGCAACTTCTAAAATTAGTTGTTGCTTTACTCCATTGCAGTTTTCTTTCACTGATCCATTTTATTACAAAGTTATGTGCTTCAATAGATGCTTTTAGTACTGCCTTGAGAATCTGAATGTTTTCTTTGTATCTTAAAATGTGAGAACATAAATTCTTTTGATGAAGACCTGCAGTGAGGCTAATCTTTGGTGACCCCTTGTGGGACAACAGCCTCAGATTTATATGGCTAAATAAAGGCTGGTGTGATTGAGGGAGGAGGAGGAAGAGCAGCAATTTTTATTAACAATAATGCTTCTTCCATACCCTTTGAAAGGATATTAACATCAAAAATTGTATTGCTTGGAACTACTTTTAGGCAGAGGAGCTTGGGACTCAAGACACTTGAGACAAATTCTTCAGAAAAGTGAGATAAAACATGCTGTGAATGCTCTGATCCTGATTTTTCCAAAGCTTTTTCCCTTGTGCCAGCATTAATATTGGTGCAAGGAATATGCACAGTTCTGCTGAGTCAGAGGAGCAGATATTTCTATTCTTTGCACAATTTTAAATCCCAGGTCAGGAATAAAACAGTTGAGTGGATTTTTTTACTTCTTTTTTATTTACTGGGGATCTCCAAAAGAAGCAAGTCCTGTTCTCAGGAGCAACCTGTAACACACTAGAGATTTGCAGATGTTCTCAGCTTTCCCTGATTGTATTCCAAGCAGGAGGCTTTTTATTTTTTCAGAAATACCACTGGAGGTCACTCATGTGCTAACAAACGGTGCTGCAGGGGAAAAACGTAAACTATCCAAGAATGAACTCAGCTTGACTTGAAGATGACTTTAAAATGGAAGCGAGTTTGGAATTATGTTGGGCAGGTACTCCTCACATTTACAGTAGACTATGACATAAGTAGCAAGTAAACTAATTATCCTGATTTTCTTATAAAAAGACTAAACCCCTCCCCACAACATTAGCAGGCCAAGTTAGCTTTGATCTAGCTACATTAATAATGGAAATGCAGCACAACTCTTCATCAAAAAAGCAAAAAATAGGAAAAGAGAATTTATCTAAAAATGCTCACTGGGGTGAGGATTGGGGGACATTAATGTGACAAGAAATTGCAAAAAAATGTAAGATAGGAGAAGAAAGATTGCATGGGGGTTTTATCACTATGGTATTTCTGATAGCAGAAAAAAATGCAAGGAAGAAGTAATAACCTCTATTTCATGTGACTGGTTTCCCTATCTCCACTTTCTCTCAATCCATTTTTGTCACTAACTTTCAAACTTCCAGATACATTTTTGTTGGAATTCTGAGTTGTAGAGAAATGGAAATTGTTAAAATGTTCTTCTTCTTTCTGCTAAAAATTTAATATTGATTTCTTGCTCTGAAGTGAAGAAGTAGGAAATGGAAGTCCTGTTTCAGCAATATCAGTACAATATCTCATCCCAAATAGGCCCAACCTTGTTGTTTCACTTCAGAAGCAGAAAAAACCTGCTACTGGCTGGTAACTCTCTACCTCAGGCTCCAGGCCCATTAATATCCATACCAAAATTGCCACAGTATGAGAAAGCCAATTAAAACCAGACAGGTATACATGATAATTAAGGTATTGCTTACAAATTATTAAGGAAAAAAGTTTCAGAGCAGCTTTATTCACCTGCACAAAGAGAGAAAATCATCTGTCAGTGGAATTTAGTGCTTGTACAACACTTTGCACACCTCTGCCTTGTTCTGTACCTTTAATTTACTATTTATGTCTTTCCATTTGTTTCTGGAAGCTTCTAGGAGGACTCTGCAGCTGCTGTGTCCCACCAGTTGCTTTCTGATTGACAGGTTTTTGATTTCAAAAAGCTGCATTAAAAAAAAAAAAAAAACAAACCAAGCTTTTTTGATTTTTGATTTCAAAACGCTGCATTAGCTGCACGTTAAGTAATTACCTGCCTGCTGATAGGGACCACTGGGCTTTGGCTGCTCTGTAAGGATGCCTCTCCCACTGGGAGATGGGAGCAGAGCAAGCAGAGCTGTTGGTAATTTGTGTGGGTGCTGGGGAATGGCAGAAACTCTCCTCCAAGCAGTGGCAACTGTGCAACACCAAGGCTGATGAAGCACTGGGCCTGATCTCCAATGCCCTGGAGCAATTTCCCTTGGCACCATGCTGGTGACAGCCTAGATGTGGCCACATGTCTCTTCACAGAGAGCAGCAGGCACAATTCCCAAGGACTTATCCTAGGAAACACAGCGAGAAACCTCAGGGAAGAAAACAATTCTTATCTCTACTTGCTGCTCCTGTTGTTTTGCACATGTGGAATGTGTTATGGAAATTGTTTACCTGAAGGGATTT